AAACTTCATTACATCTGTAACACGGCACCCGACATCCGGCACGCGACAGACGGCACGCGACATCCGGCACGCGACATCCGCTGCGTTGGAAGCACAAACAACTACAGAAAGACACGAAATTACAGATAACGTTTGACTGAGTCTGTTTAAGTTGAGTCTAAAGTAAAGATAGATTTACAAGCTGGGTCTGACAACAAATCACATGGTGTATCAATCACTTAAAATTTACAAACCCTTGACGTCTTATATGGAACCACTTGACCACCTTTTTTCTTAGACACACAGCTAGCAGTTGTGAGAAACCACCGGTCACAAACTACGGCACCCCCGCATGTATGAGGTATGTCTTCGTCATCTAAAACACTCAGCCAACCCAGCCATGGCCACGCCCCCTGTAAAAAATAAATATTCACGTATCACTATTATTTCTTATATTGTGGGGAAACAATACTAATGAATGGGCAACATTATTTTTATACTCATGAATATGTGATTTTTACAGTGTAATTTAATATCAACTTTTATTAAACATGTTCAGGAAAATGTTCATTGAGCCTCTGATGAGTTTTTTTATTCCCTTGAAAGTACATATCAAATGACAATGAGTGACAGATTTTGTTTTTATCTCATTACTTAATTTACCTAAACGATGCTTTTCTTTATTTTCATTGATGAATTGACATTTTGGTGACCCTTTCTAAGACTCTACCTTCACTTTATATCAAATCATTGAATTTTCATCAAACACTGACTTTTTCTACATATTTTTAACATATCAATGTTTATTTTGTACATGTACTTCTATTTACCTCCTCTGCTCTCTCTGAACGTGATAATTTAACCATATTTTCTGAAACACCACACTGTCCGTAATCTGAAAAAAACAAGAACATTTTATGGTTTACATACTCGTGCCGCTTTTTCGACTCCGTAAAACGGTATTGCAAAGCGGTGCATGTATTTTGACGTGACATCATTTGCGTTTTACAAACATATATAGCGTTATGGATCCTGTAACACTCTTTTTTATGGTTTTATTTCATAATATGATGCTCAAATTAGGATTTGTCAATATTGTAAGTTACAATAAACATTATCTATTAAGATATTACCGAATTTAACATTTCATGTAAATAAAGGGAGGTAATTAGAAATTTATTTTCTATACATTCGATGTCAAATTTTCCAAAAAGAAATTAATGCATATACATTTGCATTTAATTGATTACACATAATGTGCACAAATAGTTGTAGTACATATTTTACTTATTCTTCGATGTTTGAAAATTGTTTCATTTGCATAATTATATACACATATAATTCCTTGTAAGTGTGGCACACACACACAGTAACAATATCAATCACAAAACATACAGGATCTTTAAGACGAGTTAAATGTTGGCATTATACTTAAGGTGCATCAATAAAAAATGATTCTTTTTTTTTTACTTTAAACGGTCGTTAGGTTTGGTATGTGATAAAAAGAATATTAAATTCTGTAATGATTTCATTCAACTCGTTCAATTAATTTAGAATTAAACTTACATTCATTCAATATCCAATATACACTTATTTACCTATAATTCATAATTAAATCAAGAATTGAATAGTATCGATTTGACCAACACTTTCAACGCTGACACAGTATCCTGGGACAACATTATTATGTCGGCCTTTTCTATAAACAAATCGTGAGCTGATTATCTGAGTTAAGCTAAAGTAGTTCCTAATTTCATAGTCAACTAATAGAGGATACTGAATGAGTCTATGCTTGTAAAATATTCTTTTATTTAAACCGTTCAATCAATTTACTATTTAATCTACACGGAAATAATATTCTATTTACCACATATACAAAATAATGTAAAAAGAGCATCATTTTTCATTATCGCACCTATAGTGTAACGCTCAAATTTGCGCGCTGTTTGATTGTACACTAGTGAAATATCGGTTTTATCAAATAGTTTTATTATACAACTACGCCGAATTTTATGTTTCAGAAATAATATCGGTCTGAGCGGTGCTTGTCGTTTTGATCACAGACGCTTGGGGGTCAGATCCTGCCCCCCCCCCCAGCGTGATACGCCCCTGTAAACACTCTTTCAAAACTATTTTAATATTTAAACAAAAATGGGAGATCAATTGCAACGATAAAACTGGTTTTCAAACAATGTTTACATATATGAAAAAAATACCGTATACCATCAAGTCTCAATACTTTATTGCACTGTGTGTTAGTGATATTTTTGTGAAGTTTAAGATTTTTTGTTTCATCTAAGTTTGTTTGTTTTTTAAAGAAGAAGCGTAAATTTGAATAAAAATATGATAAATAGAAAACCAAACATGTGTCTGATAAACATGTAATTAATTTCTTAAGACTCGGCCAAAAAATAAAATTTATAAGTTATAAATTAAAAAAAAAGAAGATTAAATATATTGAAAAACTTGACAGAACTCCGCGTTATTTTATAAGTCTTGCCCAATCAGATCAAATATAGTA